TTTTAATTCCTGCAATCAGTAAGTCCATGACAAGTTTATTGAACGCATCTAAATGATCTTGTAACGAAGTACCTGACCCCATCTTAAATGTGTGAAGACGCCGTTGTAACAACATCCTTGTTGTCACTGATCGGTCTTGGTATAGCCCTTCTAGCTTTTCCCATAACTGTTTGGCCGTCTCTTCGGTACTCGTACTCACTTCACAAAGCACGTTAGGTGCAAGAGAAATTGGATTGCACTCAATGCATCCCCTTCAATCTTCTCCTTATCGGGAGCTGATATATCCTTAGGATACTTTCCGTCAATAGCATGGATTGAACCTTCCCTCTGCAGTAACAATATCATCTGGATCTTCCAGATATTGAAGTTGTTGCGTCCACTGAATCTATCAATTTCAAACTTCATGGAACTCATCTTTGCTTGTTCTTCCTCCTTGGATCGTTAAAGAATCCTGTCGCTCTGATACCAATTGTTAGTGGAAATATAAAAGAAAGAAAACAAGATTTAACGTGGTTCGGATCAAATAATCCTACGTCCACCAGAGAACAATTGCCTTCTTATTATTAACAAAGGAAGGGGAGATTTCCCAATTCTACTTAAGAGAATTTCTCTCTTAACTCTCTACTCACTGCAATGTATTGTATTATTTTTTGGGATGGTTTCTACAAATGAAGGAGTGCATCTATTTATAGAGGTAAAGACCTCCTCTTGATGTCATTGGTGACATCAAACTACCTCCTCTTGATGTCATGGGTGACATCAAAGGAGGAAGCTTCCTCCTAGCATCCACACCAACTCTTTCCACCAACTCTTCCAATTGGCATGCCATTGTTGACTAAACATAAACCAACACTTTCAATTTTCCTACAATGTTGAAGAATGTTAGGGTTAGAGTGCATACCATCAAACCTTGGTGCCTCATTACCTAAGCAATGGCAAAACAACTTGTTTAACCACCTCTTCCTGAAAGGTTTCTCAAGCTCCTTCTCATTCTCATGGCTTATACTCGAGAAAGTAACACCATCCATGCCTTGTCTCTAGGCTTCCTTCTTCAGTATGTAGTGTCTGATAATACTGNCGGTCCACAATAAGTGACCATTTTACCTTTTTATTTTTATTCTGGGAGGGTAGAGTGTAAGCAGACCTTACTCCTGCCTTTAAAAAGGTAGAGAGGATGTTTCCGGAAGACCCTTGGCTCAGGAAGGAAAAAGGGAAGTGGCAATAACAAGCAAACCAGTCTGACAACCAAAGCGAAAATACAAAACTAACACTAAGTAATGCAAACAGAAAACCGAAACATGGCAACAATAAGTAATAACAACAATCTAGGGATAAAAAGAAGTACTCGAGGGACACTAAGAGTTGTAAGCTACTGAGACAAACAAGGACAACAATCTGCTAGGTAACCCTCTACCTTTATTCTCAATCTCCACACCTTCTTATCTATGGTCATGTCCTCAGTTAGCTGGAGCAACGCCATATCTCGCCTAATCACTTCACCCCAATACTTCTTCGGCCTGCCTTTACCTCTCCGTTGGCCCTCCAATGCCGGCCTCTCACACCTCCTCACCGGAGCATCAATGCCTTTCCTCTTTACATGCCCGAACCATCTAAGTCTCGCCTCCCGCATCTTATCCTCCACAAGGGCCACGCCAACAGGATGCTCGGAATTAAAAACTGGACTGCAAAAGACGGAGTAAAACCAAAATTTCTGATTTGGCAATAGATTTGTGCCTTCAAATATTTTGACAAATTGGATTAACCTGAACAAGCTGAGAGCATCCAACCCAATACTCATACTCGCGACAAGTATTAGTAGAATATGAGTTGAAGTTCAATTATTGAAATTGAATTGTGTTAAAACATGAGATAACATTAATCTTTTTGGCAAACTTAGTACTCTCTCTATCGTAAGAAGACTGGCATGGTTCTGAGCACGAGGGCCAATGCATCTAATTTTTAATTTTTTAATTTTTTGGAATAATTTACATATCCAGGAAGTACATAAACGTACTATATAACAATCTATTATAAGTAAAACTATGTAAAAACGTTTCAACAAAATGCAGTAAAAAATACTCCACAAATAATAACTTTCCTTTTAGATTGAGGAAGTACTTGTAGAAGACAAATAAGTCCCATGCTCCGGTTTCAGTTTGGGTAATGAAAGAGCATATATGAGTTTCCTTAAAAATCTAATTTTTCTCCAATGCAGTAATACAGAAGCATTTGGTGTTGTGGAAAAACCTAACTAGTAAACTAGACATAATTAACCAAAAATGAGACTAAGACAGTTAAATTAGGCCAATTGGTAGGGTTAAGTTGAGGAAAGCTCATCGAGGCTTGCTAACTAAAACACCAGAATTTTTTAAATAGCTCTTAGAAGCCAAAAGCAAATTTACTATGAATTTGAATTAGAAAACAATTTTCTTTTGTTTTTGTTCTGCATTTTTTTTCCCAGAATGTGTTCAGATTTTGTATGTGAGAATGGTTTCTGGGTGTGTGCTGAGAATTGGCTTTGTTTTTTCTTTTTCTTTTTCCAAAAAGAAAACTGTTTTTTACAGCAAAACCCGTTTTGTTTTGAAAATCAGAACAATTTTCTTCGTTTCAAGAAACTATTGTTTTTCAAGACATACAGTTCCAAAGATAATAACTGGACTTGTAGAGAGGGACCAGTATTAAGGTACTTGGGCTCTTAAATCTCTAAGCTTAATAACTCGTACATAACTTGTAACATATAAGGAGAAGTTCTCAAAACAATTGCTCCCTCTGTTTCAATTTGTTTGGCAAAATTTGACTTAGCACGAAATTTAAGAAAGAAAGGAAGACATTTAAAACATGTGGTCTTACACATGCCATATCATTTGTGTGGCTATAAGACTTTTGAAACTTGTGGTCTTAAACATGTCATATCATTTGTGTGACTATAAAAGCTTCTCATTACGGAGATATAAAAATGTACCCTTCTTTTTGAAACAGACTAATTAGAAATAGTGTCAAACAAAGTGGAAAAGAGGGAGTAGCAAGTAACAACTTAGCCAAGCCATAATGACCTTATTGCCCGTACCCATGACATAGCAGAGAATAGCTCAGGAAATTCAGGAAAAGGTAGGAAGTTGTTATATGATTTAAAATTAAAACGCTGGTAACAATTGAGCTGAGAAAATTTAGTAACAATTAAAGCGTGGAATTCAGCTGTGTCAGCTGACCAGAATGCCCATGCTGCTTAACTGTAATATTCAGGCAACCAGAATGGCTACTAAGGTTCTGTGATCTGTTTTGACTGAGTTGCTTGATTGTTAGAATACAGTCATTTTAGGTATCATTAATGAAATTACACAGTTGATTCTTTTTATATACACAGACAATGGTGCAAGAACAAGGTGGTCATCCTGTATGGGGTTCATATGCGCAGCGCCTACTAGACCCTCAATCAGGACTATGGAGAAACCCTAGTGGAGGTGGGCATGATGACAAAGCCCATCCACCCATTCATCCAACTAAATTTTCTGCTGGAGAATCTAGGTGGAGCCAGGACCACCATGTTAGTACTGGACCTGACACTAATTCTTAGTTGGTGTCAATTTAGATGAGACTTCCCCTTGAGGCCTATGTTGACACTATTCATCCAACTCAAGGGGAAATGACTTCCCCTTGAGGCCTATGTTGAACTCCTTTTCTACTACTGACATTTGTTCTTGTGCAGAGAGTGTATGAGTTGGTTGTTCGCCATTTCTTGGCCTGTGTTTCTAAACCTGCTGTTGGGGCTGAAACTACAGTTGAGATTGATATTGCTGGTGAATCCTTTTTTGCATGTGGGAGAGTGATACTTGCAGTAAGTTTCCTATTGCAATAATTGCTTCTGTATGCATTCTGTCCGACTGCTGGCGCATGCTCTGACAGCGTGCCATTTTTGTTCTGTGATGGGGTTGACCGTGTGCTGCCATGAGCAGAATAAAGTGAACTTATAGTATGATACTGCTTCTAAATTGCTTTCTTAGTTTTAATTTTGTTTAAAGTGATTAAAGTCTCAAGCTAAGATTTAAAACTTAAAAACACTTGTCATAAAAAGATTTAAAACCTAAACAAGTATATTCTTTTAGTGCTTTATGCTTCTTCGGATAAAGTTAGTCTTTTTGGGATACAAGTTATTTGTGGATCATTTTTGATTTTTTATAACCATGGTGTGCGAGCCAGCTTGCGCACACCTCGGCTACTCACTAGCACAGGTACCAGGTAACTCCATCTGCTAAAGCTTGGACATATGGGAAGAAATCACCTAGTGTTTTTGCCTCTGCTGGGATTGAACCTGAGACCTCAAGGTTCTCAACCTATTTCATTGACCACTAGGCCACAACCTTGGGTTGTTTTGGAATTAGGTCTTCCTTTTTAAGTACAAACTGTTGCTTTTAGTTGGGTTTTTTCTATAAAAATGGATAAATAAAATGAGTAAAAGGATGCCTACAACGAAAAAGCTGTGTAAAAAGGATTTCCGTGCAAGTTTGGGGGGGATAAGGTGTGTATTAAACGTTTTATCCCATTATATGGGCCCTATGAGATGTTTATTTGAAGTCTACAATTTTTCAGTTACACTTGACGGTTTAGTAAGTCGGTATATTGACAGTTTGCTCTTGATGAAAGCTTTCTTTCCCCTATGGACATTTGCCCTTTTTTGCCACCCTGCTGGTGTTTTCCTCACTATTTCAATTATCAGGTTCCAAACTGTGAGATCCCTATTTAATGCTCCTGGCGGTAGGCTGGAGAGGCTGTTTTGGTGCTATAGCTTAGGGTCCTTTTAATGATAGTTGATCAAAAGGACATTTAATGTGTTGCTTCAACCTCTGAGGTTAGCTTTGCTCATATTTATCCATTAGTGTTAACGTCTCTGATTCAAAACCGAACATGAAACCTTGGTTTCATTTGCCTCCTTTATGGAGAGGAGTCAATTTATAGATCCAAGATGTGAACAAAATTCAGAAAAAATATTTTTACCCATAACATCTATGTCAGTTTTTGGTCTGAATGCAGGTAAAATGAATAGATTTGTAGATAATCCTTCTAGAAGAGGGGGATTCCAGTATCCTTTCTAGTTATTTCGTTCTCTATTTCTATTTAATTGGATCTTGAGGAAAAGGATTTTGTTTCAGGATACATGTTTGATTTATCGATAATGGAGGAAGAAGAAACCTCCAACTGCTAATATTGTTTTAATTTGATTTTTGAATGCTTTCCATTCATTCTCTTCTTTAGCCTTTTTCTTTTCATAATTTCTTCAGTTTTCTTATACTGGACCAATTTTTACTATGAGGATAGACTTTAAACATCTACTTAGATACCAATACCTGGAGGATGTTAATTACCTCTTCTTCTTTATAAAATTCTTTTGGCACCCTAACTCAAGCATGTAATTTCTTCACTCAAACAAGAAAGTGAGAAATATGTAGAGGACTTGTGCAACTACGATCGTAATTTGGCTATTTGTAATGAATTGTCATTTTTTCTATGTTCACAGAAAAACTACCTTGACGTGTACCGATTTGAATCATGGGGAGGTTCAGTGATCCCCACGTACACTTTTGGTCAACAGGTTCGTTCATACTCTTTGTTTCTATCTAATCACCAAGTAATTATTTTGTTACTGATTGCAATTATGCAATGGTGAGGCTAAGCATGCACTTTTTGGTGATTTTCTTTGCAGTATTTTGATTATCACCTGCGCTATGATGATAAGCTTTATTATTTCAACCCATTTCTAAGTATATTTAGGAAACTTCAAGTTTATGAACTAAAATTAGAGAATGAGCCTGTGGTCGTGGGGCTGACAACTGATTTCACATGAAATCTTGATATGCTTTTTCATATTCAGACTTGAGAATTCAGATTCCTCTTAAGATGCATGAGTCCTTTGGCACTCTTCTTCCCTTTATTACTTCTGGCAGTGGTTGGTTGCTAGATGTTACAAAATTTTCTTAAACAACTTCTTACATCCTATTTCCTCCTCTAGATCCCTTATCTTACCCCTTCCCTTTTCTCTAAGGATATCACTAACAATGAAAGTGGGCTATTATGAAGGCACGAATTACGAAGCCACCAAATCCTATGTTGTTCGGATCTTCCAAAAATGCCGCCCAACCCATGTTAGATCCTCCAAAAATGAATAACTTTTGGAGGATTCGATATATTCGGAAACATTTTTAAGGATCTGAGCAACATAGACCAAAACTGTGAAAGCTAATCCAAACAAAGAGGGCGCCCCCAGCTACTGTCATCTAGTTACTTTTTTTCTGATTTACTTTTCAAGGTTTTCAATGCAGCCTCTTGAAAAGAACATTATTCCTCCCATTATCTCTTGACTGTCTGAAGATTAAATTGCTCATCTAGTTTATGCAGCAAATTTAAATTCGATGATGTAAGTCTAGACTGGGCAGGTTGAATCTGCCAGGACTTGAAGAGGGGAAAGGTCAATAAGTTAACAGATTCAGCGGCTCTGCCCTCAACTTTGAGTTGACTGAGGTTGGTCGCTGAGGAGGACAAAAGGTAGCTCAAGGGGGATAGTTAGGTGGTAGAGGGGGAATAGTGTGGGAACATGAAAGTGGAGGCAGTGCTGGGGTTAGCAAAGGCCTATCAGCAGTTCCTTCTTCGATGATCAGCGCGTTTGTTGGCAAAGAGGTTATAGCCCAGTATTCATTAATTATACAAGAGTATGGACCAGCTATAGAGGGGTTCCCGCTACTAAATGCATCGAATGGTCTATACAAGTACATAATACACGTGTTCGAAAAGAGCCAAAAATAATTACATCAGCCTGTCCACTTGGAGCTCTGTTGTTTCTTTTTATCTTTTACATCTTTTTCTTGGGTTTTCCTTTTAATTCCCATCTTACCTCTCAAAAGTTAATTACATCATGGGTGTGCTACTGAAATTAAAAATTCTCTTCATTTTACTTTTAGTTGACTGAGTATCCATTTAAGATCAAATATTTTAGTTTGAGATGCAACAACAGTTTGAAGACCAGCGCTAACTTGTAGCTTTAGCTTGAACAATAATTCTGTAATTTATAAGTCCTAAGTTCAGTAAGATAGCTTCAGAGTTTTCGTAGCATTGAGGACCACTTTTAGCTTTCTTTTGCGTAAGCAAAAGAATGCACTTTCTGATTTGCCGAGTGGCCCAATTTTACATGGTTCATTTCATCTTCTTGTTTTTGTGTTAGGACAGTCCGTACCTCCAATAAACCTGCTTCAAAAAGCAAACTTTTTTGCCTTTATGTTGAAAATGTTAATGATGTTTATGTGGATTTTGAGAAGAAGAAAAGGCTTTTTATATTTCTGTATGTTTCTTACATCCCTAAGCATATGTATCTATACACTAGGTCCTATGACTATTTTAGTAAGGTAGATAAATTACAATCAATCTGAATAAAAATCAAATCTCAATCAGAATCAAATTTTTTTCAATCAAAATCAAATCTTTCCTAATAATTAAGCCAATCAACACCCCCCTTAAGTTGGTGCAAAGATGTCACACATGCCCAACTTGCAAACCAGTGTATGAAAAGTACGTTTGTTGATACACTTGGTAAACACATCAGCTAACTGTTTTTCTAGTGACATATGAAACAAGCTCAAGACACCACTCGTAACTTTTTCTTTGATGAAGTATCGATCAATTTCAACATGCCTTGTTTGGTCATGCTGGACTGGATTATAAGTTATGTTGATGGCAGCCTTGTTGGCACAATATAAGAAAAGTTTCCACTTTCCAGACAGTCTCAATTCCTCTAGTAATTTTAGTAACCAAAGAAGTTCACGTACACCTTAAGCCATAGTTCTATATTTTGCTTCCGCACTTGATCTAGCAACTGCAATTTGCTTCTTACTTTTCCAAGTAACCAAATTCCCTCCTACTAGTGTACAGTAACCAGATGTAGATCTTCTATCATCTAAAGATCTAGCCCAATCCGCATTTGTATAGGCTTCTCCTTGAAGGTGACCATGTTTAGAGAAAAGCACACCTTTGCCTGGAGCAGACTTTAGATACCGCAAAATGTGAAAGACAACTTGCATATGAAGATCTCGAGGATCATGCATGAACTGACTCACGAAGCTGACTGAATATGCTATTTCAGGTCTAGTATGAGAGAGATAAATGTGTCTTCTAACCAACCTCTGATATCTCTCCTCATTAACTGGTTCTCCAACTCCTGTTTGTAACTTGTGATTATTTTCAATGGGCGATTCTGTTGGTTTGTAACCTGTCATACCCATTTCTTTCAAGAGATCCAGAATATGCTTCCTTTGAGAAATAACGATTCGTTATTTTGATCTAGCAACCTCAATTCCCAAGAAGTACTGTAGTTTTCCTAGATCCTTGATCTCAAATTCGTGTGCCAACAACTTCTTCAATTGGGCCATCTCCTCTTTGTCATCTCCTGTCATTACTATGTCATCAACATAAACTATGAGAAGAGTGAGTTTACCCGTTTGATGTCTTATGAAGAGGGTGCGACCAACATTGCTTTGTTGGTATGCAAAGGAGATTATTGCTTTGCAGTATCTGTCAAACCAAGCTCTGGGGGATTGCTTCGGTCCGTACAAGGCTTTCTTCAATTTGTATACCTTTCCTTGACTTTTTGCAGTATCAAATCCAGGAGAAATCTTCGTATACACCTATTCTTCTAAGTCTCCATGAAGAAAATGCATTCTTCACATTAAACTGTTGCAAGTGCCAATCAAGATTAATTGCACAAAACAAAAGAATACTAATAGTGTTCATCTTAGTAACAGGGGGCAAATGTCTCTTGATAATCCACTCCGTCCGAGTGATTCCTTAGCCACTAATCTTGCATTGAATTTTTCAATCGAGCCATCAGCTTTGTGCTTCACAGTGAAGACCCATTTGCAGCCAACCAACTTCTTGTCGGGTGGTGAAATGACAAGTTCCCAAGTCTTATTTTTTGGCAAGGCCTTCATTTCTTCAATCATAACTTGCTTCCATTTAGGATATGCAAAAGCTTCCCTCCAACTCTGGGGAATAAACACAGAAGAAATAGACAAGGCAAATGCTCTATAGGAAGGAGACAAAAAATTATAGGAGACAAAAATAGGATAAAAGGGTGTTTGGTGGTGCAAGATGTGACTCCTTTTCTGTGAGCAATAGGCAATAATTCGTTAGGAAATGTAGATAACTCACCAGTAGAAGAAGGTTCAGATTTGGTAGATTGCATAGTGGCTTCTTCTGCACTATTTCTTCTTGAGTAAGTTTTTAAATCAAGCCTATCCAAATGCCCAATAGTCTTCCCCTGAATTCTTTCTCCAATTTCACTTTTCTCTGTGACAATGTCATCAAGAGGTTCAGTAATGGAATTAGCTAGACTCACCTCTTCCTCCTTATTGCTCTCCCCTGAAGAGGTATGAGGTAATACTTGGGGTTCAGATTCACGAAAGGTAAAATTCTTGCTAATAAAAGATCTCCTAGAGGAAGGATGATAACATTTATAACCTTTTTATTAGAGAATACCCTATAAAAACACACTTTATAGCTCTAGGATCAAATTTTCTAGAATTCCTAGTATAGACAAAGCAAACACACCCAAACACCTTTGGAGGAACAATATATTCATTATTACCCTTTAAAGCTTCCAGAAGACTTTGAAAGTTGAGGATTTTACGTGGCATTCTGTTGATAAGATAGGCAACTACTAGAATAGCATCACCCCAGTAAGGTTTTGGTAGATGCATGGTGAACATAAGAGATCTTGCTACTTCTAACAAATGCCTATTCTTTCCTTTCAGCAACCCCATTTTGTGCACTACTGACAGGACAACTAGTGTGATGGACTATCCCATTGGACTCCAAATAAACACCAAATCTTTATCCATGTATTCGTATCCATTGTCAGTTCTCAAGGTTTTCATTTTGGCATCAAAGTGAGTAAATCATCTTATGAAATGACTGAAAACAAGAGAAAACTTCACTTTTGGCTTTTGACAAATATGCTCAAGTCATTCTGGTGCAGCAATCAATGAAAGTAACAAACCATCGACTACTAGACAAAGAAACAGTTTGGGTAGGACCTCATACATTATAATGAATAGTCATAAACAGAGTTATGCTTCTATTGTCACTCACAAGATAAAAGTTTCTACTATGCTTGGCATATTCACACGCATCACAGCACAAAGATTCAAATTGAGTTGTTGAAAACAAATTAGGATATAACTTCATCAAAATAAAGAATGATGAGTGTCCTAACCGTCTCTGCCACTGTATTATTTCTTGACTGAAATCTTTATTTTCCCCTAAAAAAGCTTGACCAGAGTTTTGAATTCTATCTAATATATACAAGTCATCACACAATCTACCACTGCCAATCATTTTCCCTATTTGAAGATCCTGAAAAATACAATGATCGGGAAAGAACTCGATTTTACAATTTAGAGCTTTGGTGATGGCACTTGTGAGAAAGCACGGGAGAAAATATTATTGATATTATTCTCATATGTTAAACATGATACAATGAGCCGTATATAAATATACATAAGATTATATTAGAGTTATTTACTCCTATTTACATAACTATTCTAACAC